AAGAAAGTCATGGGCAATACCCTGGTGCCAGGTGAAGGCAAACTAGGGGCAAATTGGGAAGAACCCTACAAGATAACCGGTCTGACGGGCAAGGGGGCATACCACTTGGAGGACTTGGATGGTAGAGGAATACCCCGGCCATGGAATGCAGCCAACCTCAAACTGTATTATTTTTAGCTTTTGTTTTCTTTTCAAAGGAATTTTTTGCCTTACACTTCAGAATGTAATATTCTTTTTGTCAATATACAGAAGTGTCTTATCTTTGCCTTAGCATTCTGATTGTTGCTTTTTAATTAAGGTTGCAACCGAGATGATTTATTCCAGTTGAACGAGTTGATGATTTACTCAACTCTGAGATTGCAACCAAGATGACTTACTCTGGTTGAACGAGTTAATGATTTGCTCAACTCTAAGATTGCAAACGAGATAATTTATTCTGGTTGAACGAGTTGATGATTTGCTCAACTCTGAGATTGCAACCGAGATGACTTACTTCGGTTGAATGAGTTGATGATTTGTTTAACTCTGAGATTGCAACCGAGATGATTTATTCTGGTTGAACGAGTTGATTTGCTCAACTCTGAGATTGTAACCGAGATGACTTACTCCGGTTGAACGAGTTGTTGATTTGCCCAACTTTGAAGACTCTTAACCGAGATGATTTACTCCGGTTGAACAAGTTGATGATTTGTTCAACTTTGAAGGTTCTCAGCCGAGATGATTTACTCCAGTTGAAAGAGTTGATGATTTGCTCAACTTTGAAGATTCTCAACCGAGATGGTTTATTCCGGTTGAACGAGTTAATGTTTTGTTCAACTCTGAGATTGCAACAGAGATGATTTACTCCGGCTGACTATGCTGATTATTTATTCAAACCGAGATGTATTGTTCCGGTTGAAACAGTTGATGATTTATTCAATTATATGCTTGCAACCAAGATGTCTTTTTCGGTTAATTAAGTTATGCAAGATGATTAGTGTTGCCAAAGTATTTTGTCCGGTTGAAGTTACTCAGCTTTAAGACCGTGCAAACACTTGATGAAATTAGAGCTTTTTCATTGATGTGAAAATAAGTACAAAAGGTGGGGAACTTAGCCCGGTTACATGTTCAGACAAAAAGTAGTATAAAAAAAAAAAAAAAACTAAGCTAAGGGGGAAAGGTTAGTGAACTCATCCTTGGTTGCTTCCAAGTTGACCGTTGGAGGTTAGCCTTGGACACCGATCTTAGTTCGGCCGGGCTGCTCCTCCGTTTGGCGGTCATGTTCCTCAGTATTTGCCTTGGTTTCTCCTTCGAGTCCTTCCTCGTCCTCAGTCTGCAATGCGCTGAAGACGTCGTTGGCATACGACACGAGATAGGTCGGTAGGAAGACAACCGGCGGAGAGGCAAACATGTCGGTTCCTAGGCCTTGGCCGAGCTGATCGCAGGCAGACTTCTAACCCGCTTTGAAGTATATATCTTGGGTGGCGAAGACTTGTTTTTTGTAGTTGTCCTCGGCCTCTTTGAAGCCGGCATTATTTGTGTCCTCCAGCTCCTTCTCCCTGGACTTTTTGAGTGCATCCAGCTCGGCCTGGAGCGCATCCCTCTCTTTTTCAGCGTCACCAAGTTGGCCGAGCAACTGAGAGTTGTCCACGTTGGCTATCTCCAGCGAAGATTTTGCTTGGCCTAGCTCGGCCTGAAGGCTTTGAGCTTGGTTGGCTGTGTCATTCGCCTTCTGCCGCAGTCGATGAATGCGCTCCATGACCAAGTGTTGCTTCTGGATGGCCTGCAAGAAGAAAGATTGATCAAAGAGAAAACTGTGCAAACACTTGTGAAAATTTGAATAGAAGTTTGACTCTTACCCTGGTCATGGACTTCACGGCCGACTTCACCAACCGGGTGTCTGGAACATGGTCACTGCCGACCACGTCGCTCGGTAGGAGAAGGGCCTTGGAGAGGTCAAGGGCGAGAAGATGTTCTTTGTCGCCCTTCACTGAAGCTGTTGCCGGGATATCCTTACTCCGGTGTTTGAGCTGCGGTCGCCATGCCGGTGTTGGGTCGATGGTGACGGCGGGCTGCTCGGTAGTCAGCTCTTCAATTAGCTCGGCAGAGGGATTTACGCGAGGCCATTTCCCAGCCCGACGGTTGTCTTGGCTGGCTTGCCCGGCAGCGAGAGATGCTAGCGCAACCACGCCCCGCTGGATTGACCGGTAGCTGGAGAGCGGGTGATGACGCTCGGTATCTCGGTAGAAGTTGCTGTGAGGAGGTTCTTGATGCGGCTTCTCTTTGCCATCTCTTCCGCCTCGGTTAACCGGATTAGGGACGCGTCCGGTAGTGTTGGGTCTGGAGGAGGTGATGGAGCACGGAGAAAGTCTGTGACCTTACTCCGGCGTGGAGCAGAGTACCGGTATGTTGAAGTGTAGCCGAGCAGCTCGTTGTAATCTCGGTTGCGATAACGGAGCACGGCCCTGATGGCTTCTTCGTTGGGATAGTGGTAGTTGGCTTGTAAGGCTTGAATTGCTGCAAAGAAAGGAAGAAAAATGTTTGAGTACAAATTATTGAGGAAAGGTAATTAACCGAGCCAGGTAGCACGACTTACATGTCTCGCCGAAATTCTTGCTAATGAACCAGCCTGGTACGTTGGCCGTTTCAACATTGGTCGTTTCATAATTGCCGGACACCCAGAAGAAGTCGTCGTCGTGTAAGTCTTTGTCTGGGGTACCGGTCACTATTTTTTCTTTGCCCGGCCTAATCTTTAACTAATAGGCGAGGCCATCGTCGGTGTGCCCAAGGGTATATTGTCACAGTATCTCGGCTAAACCTAAGTTGGTCCCTAGCCGGTTATTTAGCTCATGGATGCCGTTGATTATTCGGTAGGTGTTGGTTGATACTTGTGTGGGTGCTAGCTCGATACGGCACAGGAATTCGGTCAGCAGAGGGTTGACCGGGAAGCGGAGGCCTTCTTCAATGATGGAAAGCATGGTGAAGGGGCACTGGTCTAATCTGCTCCAAGGGGTTGTCTCAATTTCGGCGAGCTCTAGGTGAATATCTGCCGGGATACTGTAGTCTTCCCGGAACTCGGCCAAGGCAGCCGGAGTGTCAACAAGGAAATGGAAGCGCCCCATGTGTAGCCAGCTGGATTAGCTCGGCCGAGGTGGTTTGGTATAGACTGGTGTCTTGATGGCTGCTCGGTCTTTGAGAGCCTCAATATTTGGTCAGTGGTCCCCTTGGACTTTGTAGGAAAAGGATGGCAGTTGTAAGTGTGAGTGCGGTCGCGCAAAACGAGCTTGACTTTAGCTCGGTCATGAAGAGTGCCAAACCACCTCGGTCGTTAAGTCTAACCAAGGAGCCCGGTCGCTTAAGCGGACCAGATTTTAGCCCGGTTGAACGGCCAAGTCATTTGGTTACCCCGGTTTTTACTAAGGTTGGGACAAACTGCTTATTTGCTCAGTCTGAATGATTTTTTGGATCAAAGGAAGACCTGGAGCCCGCCCCGCCCCAGATCTTCAGTGTTCATTAGAGAATATGAAGAACAACAAAGAGAGTGAAGGGTCAGGGATGGTTTTGGGTGCCTATGTCCTAAAACCTACGGATTTAGTGCCCTATTATGCGAAATACCAAGTGAAATAACAACAAAAGGGGTTGACGAACTTACCAGTTAAGAGCAGTGGCTACTTCCTCGAACACAAACTCAGTAATGGCAAGAAAGGAAGGGCAGAAGCTCTGGATCAGCAAGAATGAAGAAAAATCAGTAAAGACGAAATGAAGAAGGAAATGGCGTATATAAGGGAGGAAGACCGCCAAAAATTTGAATTGAAGGGATGTGACTGTTGGCCGCTCGAGGACAATCAGCACACGACACGTGTCCCCATTGATGGCAGCGTCAGAGCTGAAGAGACAGGAAGGTCAGACGAGACGTCGCCCGAGCAAGTCAAGACACAGGAAGGTCAGACGAGCCGTCGGCCGAGCAAGACAAGGAACCGAGCGCAGAAATTAGCCCGGTTGACTTCTTGCAAAACTGAGAGCTGAGAAAGTGTTTACCCCGGTCATAACAGGTAATCCCGGTCACGCTTTGGCGGACGGAATTAAGGGGCAATTGAGAGGGAGGTTTATGGTTTTGTTTGGGTCGGGGTAATGGCCGGGTAGATTTGGGCCGAACAAGTTTGGGCCGTGGTGAAACGGGCCTATCCTGAAAGGTTTTGCTTGGTTAAGGCAAGGCGTGGTCAGCCGAGCTATTTGGCCTCAATGAGCTTGGCTATTGGAGCACTTGGTCCTGAAGTGCAGCATGGCCGTTGGCAGCCGAGATGCTGCAATCTGGCTACCGAGCTCCTAGTAGAGTGGGCTGGCAGTTGGGTTAGGTGGTGTTCAGCAAGATTTGTGCTGACAGATTGGATAGCAGCACCACGTGTCGAGAGACTAATGGGAGTAGATTTGGGGCGCAAAAGGTATATAAGCGAGTCTGCGCCCCCCATACTGAGGATGACACATTTTTGGTGAGATAAACACTAAACACGACTCAGTCCTCTCTCTCTCTCTATCCCTGTGTGTGTGTCTAACTTGATCGTCGGAGGAGTTTTCCGGGCACACACCGCTGGGTAGCTCACCGCCGTTGTGTTCGCAGGTCGATCGGACGGGCAGGAATTTGGAAGAAAGGAGTGCGGGCTTGCCTGAATATTTGCTCCCCGCACAGCTTATATATAATGTTAATTCAAAATTGTGCCAAAAAGCTTACTTTTTGTCATGTTTTCCGATGTGAGTTCAAATCTATGAAAATTGTTTTTATTTTACATAATAGGAAAAAACTTTGTATTTCATCTTAATGTTTTCATTAAAATATATGAATAGATTCTCCATCTTATTTGAACTGTGTGGTTTTCACTTAAGAAGAGAGGTAACACATGCTTTGATGGTGTAAGAAATATTTAAAAGCCGTGGGTTTAGAAATCCTCAACCACATGAGAAGAAAGTAACTCCGCATCAACCCTTCTCCTTTTAAATGGCTTTAATTTGCCTTAATTAGTCAGATAGAGCTGGAAGACCCTTTGGAAAATGTTGGAGTGAGATTGGTGAGACAGGGTGGAGCTAAGACAAATGATATCTCTGAAGGTGTGAAGGTATGACTGGAATGCCATTATATTATCAGCTGTATATCTCTCCCATTAGAGCAATAAAATTACTTGTTTTCATACAAATTGTTGTTGAAACGCAGGCTATATGTTAGATTTATTAGTGTCAGTTACATTTCCAAGTTGCTCTTTCTATCTTTTATTTTATTTGTTTAATTTTTATTTCTTTTCAATTATAGGGTTAGTATGGCTGTTTCTGGAAGTTTTAAAAGACATGAATGTTGCTATTGCTCTCCATACTAGCTTTGTGTTATCTGCCATTTCTCAAAGATTTCCATTATCTAGGTTATTGCTGCAGGCATGAATCCCATTCAGATATCCCGAGCAATCGAGAAAACTGCAAAGGCCCTTGTTTCTGAGCTCAAACAGATGTCCAGAGAGGTATATAGTATTTCCATTCTTCTTTTAGTTCCCTGGGAAGGATTGAAGAATTGGGTAGAAAAAAGTATGGCAAACCAAAATATAAGCAGACATTTATGCTTTATGTGGGACTAGGGCTTGTTTTTTCATTGACAATGGAAAACATTTTCCGTGGACTTTGGTTTTTCATTGTACCAAATGCCAAAAAATGCGGAAAATATTTTCCAATTTTAGAAAGTGAAAAACATTTTCTGGATTAAAGAGTTACCGATGTCACCACACTAACACCTCCACCACCACTGCCAACCCACCAACTATGCCCTGAAAAGTTTCTATAGAAATTTTTTTCGTTGAAAAATGTTTTCTGCTGAAATAAACAGAGCGTTACTCAGTAGTTCATGCACTCATGCTTGCCAAAATCAACTGAAAATATTGACTATATTGCAGGTTGAGGATCACGGGCTTGTAGATGTTGCTACTGTAAGCACAGGGAACGACTATGCAGTAGGAAACATGATTTCTGATGCTCTTCAACAAGTGGGTAGGAAGGGAGTAGTAACAATTGAGAAAGAGAATCATGCGGAGAATGCTTTACAGATCGTAGAAGGAATGCAATTTGATCGTGGATACTTGTCCCCTTATTTTGTTACTGATCGACAGAAGATGATAGTGGAGTTCCACGATTGCAAGGTAGGGCTGTTAACTCTTTGTCAAGCATAACATTTGCAGCGTTGTCCTGTGGAGAGTTCTCACAGGGTGCTTTGGTTGCAGTTACTTCTGGCCGACTGAAAAATCACAAACCCAAAAGAGATGTTTAAATTATTGGACAACGCTGTTAAGGAGAAGTACCCAATTGTGATAGTTACAGAGGGCATTGAGCAGGAAGCTCTGGCTCCGGTAATTAGGAACAACTCAGGGGTGTCTTGAAGGCAGCTGCTATTAAAGCTCCTGCTATTAAAGCTCCTGCCTTTGGCGAGCGCAAGTGCCGCTACTTAGATGACATCACTACCTTGACTGGAGGTAGTTGATTGACCACTAAAATACACCACAATTTGTGTATTTGAAGTAAATAATGTCTATAATAAATCAAAACAGAACATTATTATAGAGGAAATACATTAATATACACCAGTTAGTGTTTTATATTATTTGAAGGCACAAACTAGGACTGACTATTATGATGATTGAGGTGTTGATGATGATGATATCATGGCAAAAGTGGCTAGAACATTTGAATTTAGTTAATTTTAAATCCTAAAAGTGACTTTGCATCCATAACAAGGTAAATTTGGTCAAACTGTAGGTATATTTGTTAAAATTCCTCACATATTCACGTTTTGAGCCCACGTCTTGTAGAACTGTATTTAGAGATGACATGGGTTTGACCCTAGAGAAGCCTGGAAGGAGGTACTGGGTACTGCTACCAAGGTGGTGATAACTAAGGATTCTACGTTGATAGTAACTGATGGGAGCACTCAAGCGGCTGTTAAGAAGAGGGTCTCTTGGATCCAAAAGCTTGTTGAGGTGCATAGAATATTTTCTGAAATGTTATCCCTGCAGTTTGATTGTCCCTTTTTTTTAATTTAAAAAAAAAAATTCCCCAAAGTTTTTGTTAGAGCATCAATTGTGACATGAAAGAACATAAATGCATAGTACATAAAAATAATTTGGTCACAATTTAAATATGCCTCTTTATCCCCTCACGTCCTCGTGGGGTTCCATAATCAATCAGAACACGACGATAAGCGTGTGGTCAGCCCAAAACAGTGATCCACACAGTCATGCGCACTGGTCGGCTCTGATACCTTTGTCACTCCCTACCACCTGCTGACCCAATCATCTTGTGGATCTACCAACATGACCCAAAATGCTTAAGCCCAGTTACTTTTGTTGCTGCTAGTGGTGGTGCTTTATATACCCAAGATCACCAATGAAAACTTTGAAAGATAAACGAATCAAAGAAATCAAACATAAACACAAAGAATACAAGGATTTACGTGGTTCACTCCAGAATAGGACTACATCCATGGCAGCTGTGTTTTTCACTATGATCATAAAACAATATAACTCTCTTAACTTACAAGAGGCGCCCCTTTCATCTATTTATAAGTATAGAATTAGGGTAACGCGGAAGCAACAAGAAAATTACCGAAGTACCCAAAGCCCCCATTTGACCTAGCACTGAGTGTACAGTACTTATCAGGGTTTACAAACCCAATAATATCCCACTTGGAACCTGATAACACAAGCTCTCTATCATCTTCATCACGTAGAAGAACACCGTAACAACTTGATCTTCCTTTATCAACTTTGAAGACCAACTGAAGTTGTAGTTGCACACAACTTTAGTTTATTAATGGTGACTGTTGTAGCCAACCTATCTACTGGATTCTCACTGTCTTGGACCTTCTCAAGAGACAAGACTCCATTATCTACAAGTGAACGAATGAAATGGTATTGCAACTGAATATGTTTCCTCTTAGAATGAAAGGCCGAATTCTTTGCAAGATGAATAGCACTCTAACTGTCACTATGCAAAACACTCATCTCTTGCTTCTTACTCGACTAACTAGGAAATTTTGTAACCAAGTCATTTCCTTCCCAGCTTCAGTAATAGCAACATACTTAGCTTCTATTGTAGAAAGGGCCACAATTTTCTGCAATTGTGAAATCCAACTCACTGCTATACCACCAAATGTGTAAACATAACCAACTAAGTCTGCATCAACATAACCATGTAACCCGATACTGGTTCGTCTGAAACAAAGTGCTATGTTTGCAGTACCACTCAAGTATCTAAGGATCCACTTCACTGCCTCCTAATGCTACTTGCCTAGATTCCTCATGTACCTACTGACAACTCCCACTGATTGTGCTATGTTTGGCCTTGTACAAACCATTGCATACATTAAACCACCGATAGCCGAAGCACATGGAAAACGTTCCATGTAAACTTGCTCTTCTTCAGTCTTTGGTGACTGTACTTTGGTAAGTCTTAAGCGGCTAGCCAATGGAGTGCTCACTGGTTTTGTACCATTCATGTTAAATCTCTTGATAACCTTCTTGACATACTCAGCCTATGATAAGTTCAAAGTACCATTAGCTTTGTCCTTATGAATCCTCATAACAAGGATTTTGTTTGCAGCTCCAAGATCCTTCATTTCAAATTGGTTGGACATAAGTTTTTTTAATCCTTTTATCTCTTCGATGCTAGATCCTGTGATAATCATATCATCAACATATAAGAGAAAAATAATATAACCTTTGTCAAACCTCTTGAAATAACAACAATGATCTGCTTGACATTTTGTAAAATTGGTGCTACACATAAACCAATCAAACTTCTTGTACCATTACTTTGGGGCCTGTTTCAAACCATACAAGTTTTTTTGAAGCTTGCATACAAACTCGTCTTTGCCGCATGTCAAGAAACCTTGTGGTTGCTTCATGTAAATTCCTTCTTCCAAATCACCATGGAGAAAAGCTGTCTTCACATCCATCTACTCAAGATGCAAATCTTCAGCAGCTACAATTCCCAGCACCAATCTGATAGTAGTCAACTTCACAATCAGAGAGAAAATTTCAATGTAGTTAACGCATTCCTTTCGCTGAAACCCTTTTGCAACGAATCTAGCCTTGTAGCGCTTGCTCCCATCATGTTCCTGTTTGACTTTGTAAACCCACTTATTATGCAAAGCTTTCTTACCCACTGGTAATTCAGTCAGCTCCCATGTCTGGTTTGCCATGAGTCAACCCATCTCATCTTGCATAGTTGACTCCCACTTAGTTGGATCATCAACCTGTAAAGCGTCATCATAACTTTCGGGTTCACCCCCATCAAACAACAAAAAATAATGTAAAGATGGAGAATAACGCTGTGTAGATTTAGACTCTTTTTCTGACCGTCTCAACTTAGGAGTAGTAGTACGTAGCTTAGTATGTGGAATAGGATTTTTAGGATTATTCTGAATCTTATTATTCAAATTAGTCTCAAAATCTCCTCTAACTCAACATGCTCATGACATGTAACAGATTTAGATTTAGATGCAAACTTATCCTTATCTTTATACATTACTTTCTCATCAAATATGACATCTCTACTCCTGATTATTTTTCGATTTTTATCATCCCAAAACCAATAACCAAATTGATCAATGTCATACCCAATAAAAGTACATTTAACAGATTTTGGATCAAGTTTACTTCTATCAGTAGAATCTATATGTACATATGAAACACAGCCAAATACCTTCAAGAAAAAAAAGGTTTACCTCTTTATCGCTCCAAGCTTCTTCTAGTAACTCTCCATCTAATGGAATAGATAGACCACGGTTAATTAGATATGCTGTAGTGTTAACTGCATCTACCCAAAACATCTTTGGCAATCCAACATGTATCCTTATACTTCTAGCATGTTCATTTAGAGTTCTATTCATGCATTTTGCAACACCATTCTGTTGAGGTGTCTTTCGAATAGTCTTTTCCATTCTTATGTTACTTTTTGCACAATATTTCTTGAACTCGTTGTCCTTAGACTCCCATCCATTATTTGATACTAAACACTTAATTTTGAGACCTGTTTCAGTCTCCACTAAGGCTTTCCACTTCTTAAAAGTAACATAAACTTCAGATTTATGTTTCAGAAAGTAAATCCATACTTTCCTCATCGAGTCATCGATAAAGGTAACATAGTAAGATGATCCTTTAAGAGATGAAACTGGTGCAGGTCCCCACACATCTGTATGAACCAACTCCAGCTTTTCTGACTTTGATTTTCTGCGATACTTTGAAAAACTAACCCTCTTTTGCTTGCCAAAGATACAATCCTCACAAGAGTCAATGTCTACTGATTTCAAATATGACAGTTTCCCCTTAGATGCAAGTACATTCATCATTTTCTGGCACATATGTCCAAGCCTTTGGTGCCACAGATTTAAGTCCTCCTTCTCATCAGCAACTGCTACTGAATCTCTGTTGTTCGTAGTCATGTAAAGAGTGCCTGCTTTTTGTCCACGAGCAACAACTATGGCTTCTTTGATGATTTTCCACAAACTACCCATGAAGGTCACAACATGACCTTCATCATCAAGCTGTCCAACAGAAATCAAGTTTCTTTTCAAGCAAGCACATGTCTGACATTTTGTTTCTTCCAAATAGATCTAGTTGGCAACCTGATTGTCACATTCCCTTTACCCACAATCTTCAAAGGTTCATCATCAGCCAAATAAACCTTCCCGAAATCACCACCAATGTAATTGTTCATGATTTCCCTCTATGAAATAGAATGGAATGATGCCCCAGAGTCTACAATCCAAGATTCAAGAGGGCTGTCAACACTCAAGATCAAAACATCACAAATCTCCTCTGTTACAGCATTAGCAGACTTTTGATTTTGATTACCTTTGTTCTTATTCAATACTGGGTAATCTCCTCTTAGATGTCCATTCTTTCCATAGCTCTAGCAACTCTGCCGCTCTCTAGTTCTTGACTTGCTTCTGTATTTGGATTTTGATATGTTGCGGTTTGGGTTTCTTTGTGCTGATCTTCCTCTGGCTTTTGTATTCAGGGTAGAACCAGATGTTTCTCCTAAATCCCTCGTGCGAATTTCTTTACTCAAAATTAAATCTGAAATATCATTGTAATTCAACTTTTCTTTTCTCAAAGAATTGCTCACTACCATTACAGTACCATTCTAGCTATCTGGCAAATTAGATAGAAGAATCAAAGCTCTAACCTCAGCATCAAATTCAATATCTATAGAACTCAATTGGGTTACCACTATATTGAATTCCTTCAGATGCTCAGCCACTGAAGCACCTTCTATCATCTTCAGATTAAACAATCTGCATATTAAATAAACTTTATTTGAGGCAGAGGGTTTTTCGTACATGTTTAAGAATGCTGCCATGAGACTTGCTGTAGGCTTCTCCTTTGCTATGTTAAACGCAACATTATGAGACAATGTTAACCAAATAACACCCAGCACTTGGTCGATCAAGAAGAGTTCACTCATCATCCTTCATCTTTTTTGTTTCGTCCCTTAAAGGGGCTGATGTAGATTTTTTTGATATAGATAGTCTTCAATCTGCATCTTCCAAAATCCAAAATCTATGCCATTGAATTTATCGATTCTAACCTTTCCTTCGTC